CATGGTTTTGACCTGTGTAGTATCTTTTCACATTGTTGTATTATAATTAATTTAATTATAAGATATTTCCGTTTTAAAAATTTTACTGTTAAAATCACTAACTCAGAAGAAAAGAAACATTGAACATATATTTTTGGTTAAGAGCAAAACAAGTTGAAGCAGCAGATTCTTGCATTTCTAGATTTATAAGGCAAAATTCATTATGAGTTCAAAACATGTCTTAATTTAAAATGGTAGTTCATTATTGAATGCCAAGAGACATTGTTAATATGAGGAGATAAAAGGAACATAGAAGAAGTTAAAAACTGAAGTAAGAAGGACAGGGGATTTATATGGACTTGAACTATGGAAAAAAATAGAAATGCATTCAAGAAAACTGTTTATTAGTGAACCCAGATTTCCCTGTTTACTTATCTTAAAACACCTAGTTAGTACCATATAAAAGATTCAGATAAGAAAACAAAATTATAAAATATTTGTCTGCTGGACATTGTGGCTCATGACTGTAATCCACACTTTGGGAGGCCAAGGTGGGTGGATCATTTGGGGCCAGGCGTTGGAGACCAGCCTGGTGAACATGGTGAAACCCTGTCTCTACTAAAAGTACAAAAATTAGCCCGGCATGGTGGCAAGTGCCTGTAATCCCAGCTACTTGGGAAACTGAGGCAGGAGAATCGCTTGAACCTGGGAGGCAGAGGTTACAGTGAACTGAGATCATGCCACTGCACTCCAGTCTGGGCAACAAAGTGAGACTCTGTCTCAAAAAACCAAAATATTCATCAATTATTTACTTAGCAGCAACTATACATTACTGAAAAATAGCTCTTATTTAAAAGAACAAATAGTACAAAATATCTTTAATACTCCCTCCCTAAAATAATACCACAGAATACTTGATTATTCATTAACATATCTGTGCCACTACAGGTATTTTCTCTTGATACATTTCTGGAAGTAGAATTACTGGATGAAAGGGTAGGAATATTTTTATAAGACCCCCTTTACATACTATCAGATTGTATTCCTGAAAAGTCTATCGACTTACAAGGTTTTTGTTCTTTTCAGTTAAATGGTATAAGAACAGTTTTGAATTTTCTTCTTCAACATTTTCCTTCATTGAAAAAGATGGTAAAAACTCTGAAGATATGTAAATAAATCTAAAAATGAAAGGAAGGGAGGGTAAAGAAGTTTATGTTCAATGATATTTCCATGTTATTAATTTGCAAATTTCACTTCTAATGGTTGTTTAATATTCTGTTATATTGAGATACAACAATTTACTTAACCGTTTCTAAAATGTTATAAATATATACATATTTATATTTGTGAATAAAGATTCAATCAACTTGTTTATGCATAAATTTAATCCACATTTCAGGTTATTTTTTAAGTAATATTACATTTCGGAAGAGAAAACCCTGTGACAAAGGTACAAATATTTTCAATGCCAAATTAATCTGAAGTGGTTATAACAATTTATGGTTCCATTGACAGTGTGTGATATTTTTCCATCTTGACCTTCTTGCCAACATAAAATAGTTTTTAAAATTTAATTTTATTATTCTTTGTAGATAAATGAATTAAGATGCCACCTATTTTAAATCATATTTAAAAAAATTATCTAAGTGCTACTTCTAGCTTTTTGGATTAGTAGAATGTTTGGTTGTTAGAGTTTGAAGGGGGTTCAGCTGCCTACCCAATGCAGGAATCATTGCTTTTCTTTTAAGTATATGAAATTTTAGTTTATGGGATGAAACTTGGCCTTTCTAATACTGTCCTGAGCCAATTGTACTTTGTCTTAGAATAAAGGAAATTATTTTTACCACACTTAGAAACTTGTATGTAAACTTGTAGGTACATTTATAATGCTGTCAATTGAAAACAAAACATATATGCCATTTTCATTCTAACAGTCTCTGCCTCCTGCCAAACTTAAAAAAAAAAAAAGCCAGAACTTACGTAGTGTCAAAATTAAGCAGTTTATGTCAGAAATAAATCATTAAAGGTGATATTTTACAGTTAAGAAGTGTGACTTTTCTTATTCATTTAATAAAATAAGATGGTCTTGCTAAAATTCTACCCGATAGTATTGTTTTGGTTGGTCTAGATTTGGGGGAAAAAAAAAGGTTTTGGCAGGGATGAAAAACATAGCAAAGGAGATATTTGCTGTGGCCTGTGCCAAATAAGACATTCTGATATTCAAGCTCTTTGCTAGGAGAAAGCATGCTATATGAAAGAAGACTTGCTGAAAAGAGTCGTTTTCAATTACTCTGATTACAACAGTCTTATTAGTAAAGAAGTGTGTATGAAAGCCTGGATTATGGTAGTTTGAATAATGAATGGGAGGTAGGTAAGGTAAAGATAGATAATGTAAAGGAGTCTTTCAAAACATTGGTTGAGGAAGGAAAGAAATAGATGTCATCAGATATTGAGAGAGAAGAAGAAAATAGGGATTCACATTCTCAGGTGAATAGACTAATTCAGGTTTGTAGGCTATATTTAAGGAGCCTGAAGTGAGGTAGAAATACAGTGAATTGCAGAGGAGACTGGAGGAGATGCAACCAGAAAAAATGGTTAGTTTTGGGAAGTTTTCCTCCATTGAGAGATGGTAAAAAATACTGAAGATATATAAGTAAATCCAAAAATAAAAGGGAGGGAAGGTAAAGCAATTTGTATTCAATGATATTTTTTTCCTCTCAAGAGTTGACGACTGTGGTTATCTGCAAAAAAATGTTATGAGGATAAAGTTGAATAACTAAAGACAGGGGCAACAACTACGGAGCATGGAAAAGGGAACTTATTGTGGATGAATAAAGATTGCTATAATAATGCTCACTGAGGTTAGAAATAAGATATATATGTTATGTGTGTGTGTGTGTATATATATATATATATATATATATATATATTTATTATGATGATGCATTTATAAATGTGATTTTTTTCCAGTAGCTCCAGGCAGTATGAAGAAAGTAAACAATTTAATTGAACGTGGGTTCTCAAGGGACACTGTAGAGATGATTAAGGGTGTTTGTTGGAGTGTGGTCAAAATGATTGACTACGTAGTTGTGGCAAATAAGAAAGGTAAGGGAGTCATAGGGAGCTATGGAGGGGTGGGAAGCAGTAAATTACAACCAGAAGCCAAAAAACAAATTTAGTAAGGATGGGAGAAATGAAATGATTGACGGCAGTGGTAAAAGGAAAATTTACAGTTCAAAATTTCAGAGGTAATACAGACCCAAGTGATAACAGTGTCCAGAATATATCACAGTGAATAGGTTGCTGAATTAGATAGAGGTGAAGGAAGTAAAGTTCTCTAGAGCAGATAAGGTCAGGAGTGAACTATAGTTGAGGATTTCTTAAAAACGAGTGGCATTTCAACAGCGTTTGTGGTTAAAGTGAAGATATATACAGGTATATGGTGCTTAACTATGGGGGCTATTCTGGTAAATGGGTCGTTAGGCAATTTCATCACTGTGCAAACATCACAGAGTATGTATATACAAACTTAAATGGTGTAGGCTGCTAAATATCTAGGCTATATAGTTATAGCCCATAGCCCTTAGGCTATAAACCTGTACAGTATGTTACTGTACTGTGTGCTGTAGGCAGTTGTAAGACAGGGTTTTTGTGTATCTAAACATAGAAAAGGTACAGTAAAAATAACGTATTATAATCTTATGGTACCATGGTCAAGTATGTTCTGACTGAAACATTGTTATATGGCACATGACTGCATGTATTTGAGGTTTTGTTTTTGTTTTTGTTTTTAAGATGAGGTATCCTGATAGCTGCAGATCAACACATTGAGGGTTTCAAATGAAAATGTTAAAGGAGTTTGGAATGGAAAGGTCTGTCAGGAAAGATAAATCTGAATTTGATGATGATGAGAAAGCAGGGTAACAGATGGGAGTGGTTTACACTGAGTTATGGCTATAGACTAAAGGAATGTAGAGATAGTGAAATGGAAGTATGTGGGATATGAGTAAAACAAGCCTGTTTCAAGATTCCATTTAGATGTAGGTGTAAAGTTGGAGTCTATCCTTTACTGTGTGTATTACATGAACTTTCAAAATTATCTCAGATTATATAAAAGTAAAATTGGTCTCATATGTGATTGATTTCCTAAGGAAACAAAGCAAGCTGTAAAAGCCACAAAAGCCTACTATTGTAGGACCTCCTGAAGTGCTGCATGGAACATGCTCAATAGCTGTGATTTGAATGAATTCTCTTTTCTCCAAGTACTGGTAGACTTCTAGTAGATAAAAGCAAAATAGGTTGTTTTTATTATGTCTTTTATCTTCTTATATTTACCATTCTTTGAAAATCGTTTAAATCTTTTATCAGTTTTAAAGCCATGGAATATTTTAACCACTAATCAAGAAAAGATCTTTTAGGTAATAGGAATAGATTTAGGTATAGTACATGTCTACCTTTTCTTTCATACCATCTAATGCACTGACAAATAGGTATTGAATGGAACCTAAGACCGTTCTCTTTTTTTATTTTTTCTCTCCCTTTTTTCTTATTCTTGCCCCTTCCCCACTCTTCTTCCTGCATTTTTCCTTATTCTCATCTTATTGCTTGTTTAGAGCACCTGCTAAAATTCACAGCCATTATTTGTTTCCACCGATAACATTAAAAGCTGGAAAAAAATTGCTATCCCACCCATTAAAATAATATGCTTTGAAGTTACTTTTTAAGATATAAAAGTGATAGCTCAATTAAATGAAACATTTAAACTTTTGTTTACATACTCCTGGTTAATTAACATTCAGCCTCTTATTATGTAAAAGTTTCCATTTAACTGCTAAAATAATTGCTTGTTAACATTTCATAAATTGCTTATTACAGTTATTTTATCTCCAACTTCCATTTTATGTCTCAAACTTTCTCTGTATGTGAAAATGCTTTCTATTGACTTGACCTTCAAATTAAATGGTCTGCATTTTTGGCAACAATGACATATAATAACATATTCTTTTTATTCTTTAAAATAGATTTGGACTGAGCAACAAATTTGAATCAGAATTCCCTTCTTCGTTAACTGGAAAAGTGAGTATCTCATTTATGTAGTGTTTGTATGCCTCAAAATGAGAGTTTTTTTTTCTGAAAAAAATAGAAAAAAGTATGCTAATCAGTCATGTTTTTTGACTTTAATATTTCATTGTTATTATTTCTTAAAATTTTTCTTTAGGTAGCTCCTGAAGAGTTTAAAGCCAGCATCAACAGAGTTAACAGTTGTCTTAAGAAGAACCTTCCTGTTAATGTACGTTGGCTACTTTGTGGCTGCCTTTGTTGCTGCTGCACGTTAGGCTGCAGTATGTGGCCAGTTATTTGCCTCAGTAAAAGAGTAAGTTGAATTATATATTTTAACTTAAATTTAGAAGTGGACAAGGAAATTTTGCATTTATTTTTATATTGAATGAATCACACTATCCTGAATACAGTATGAAAGTAATCTGATCCAGGAGAGGAGTGACTCAGTAAAGTTATTATATATCCAAGTGCTGTTATTAAATAGTCATCTAAAAATTATATTTATAATTTTAGGAGCAAAGAGTAGAACATGGCAGTATCTCTGTCTGTACTGTATATCGATGGTGGTGTAGTATAGTGATCAAGGATGCTGGCTTCAGTTCTACCATTTATCTGTATGACCTTAGGCGTGTTTCCTAACCTCTTTAAACCCTACTTGACACAACTGTAAAATGTTCACCTAGTACTTGAATAGGATTGTTGTAGAGGTAAAATGAAAATGTTTGGAAAGCTCTTAGCTGAATAGCTCAAAGGAAGTGGTGAATAAGTATTAATTAATAGTATTCTTACTAATAATAAGATAGTACCCATAGAAGAAATAAAATGGTTACAATGGTTGTTTCTGGTTGGTAATTATGGGACATTCTTTTCTTCTTTTTATATTTTACAAATTTTCTGTAATGAGCACAAAGTGATTCTGTAATCACAAAAAAATAACTTTAAAGACTCATCATTTTGACTGCTTATAATAAAAAATTCTGGCCGGGCACAGTGGCTCATGCCTACAGTTGCAGCACTTTGGGAGGCCATGGTGGGCAGATCACTTGAGGTCAGGAGTTCTAGACCAGCCCGTCCAACATGGTAAAACCCCATCTCTACTAAAATATAAAAAAATTAGCCAGGCATGATGGCCGGCACCTGTAATCCCAGTTACTCAAGAGGCTGAGGTAGGACAATCACTTGAACCTGGAAGGTGGAGGTTGCAGAGAGCTGAGATTGCACCATTGTACTCCAGCCTGGGCAACAAGAGTAAAACTCTGTCTCAAAAACAGATAAACAAAAAAATGTTGAAGATGTTGGTAGAGATATGACAGATTATTATCGATTGAATGCATATTTTTATTAAAATTTTAAAAAATTATGTTTATAGGCCAAGCGTGGTGGCTCAAGCCTGTAATCCCAGCACTTTGGGAGGCTGAGGTGGGTGGATCACGAGGTCAAGAGATTGAGACCATCCCGGTCAACATGGTGAAACCCTGTCTCTACTAAAAATACAAAAAATTAGCTGGGCATGGTGGCACGTGTGTATAATCCCAGCTACTCAGGAGGCTGAGGCAGGAGAATTGCCTGAACTCAGGAGGCGGAGGTTGTGGTGAGCCGAGATTGTGCCATTGCACTCGAGCCTGGGTAACATGAGTGAAACTCCGTCTCAAAAAAAAAAAAAAATTATGTTTATATGTATAAAAATGATATATTTTAATTTTTAAAAAATATATATATTTTAAATAAACAGTGACAGGGTTTCACTCTCTTGCCCAGGCTGGTCTCGAACTTCTGGGCTCAAGCAATCTGCCCTCCTCAGCCTCTCAAAGGGCTAGGATTATAGGCGTGAGCCACTGCACTGAGCCAAAAATGATATTTTGTTAAGTTGGAAATAAATGAACGGTTTTATGTGGCTGGATTTTGACAACCAATAATAGTAGGAGTATGGATGAGCAAATTCTCTTTGTCTCTTGATTTCTGTTATGAAATAAAAGATATATTCCTACCAAAATTTTTTTAACTGGTACGTTCTATTGATAGGAAGGAATTAATGCCTTTGTAGTACAATGACTGTTGTAATATTTACTTTAATATTTCTAATACTTGCTTTTTTCTAAAAATGGTTCTTTTTTTTTTTTTCATAGTTTTCACCAGATTACCTTTAAACTACAGAACATTTTTTTCACTTCTGGTGGTCTCTGGGTCCACTGTTGATTTCGTTGTTGTTATAGTTTGGATCCCTTTGTTCCCTTCCACTCTGTGGGCGTTTCCATTGTTTCAGTGCCTGCTGTATGTCACTTGGTTGGTAATTGCTATCGTTTAACCCAGGCGTCCCCAAACTATGGCCTGCGGGCCACATGTGTCCCCCTGAGGCCATTTATCTGGCCCCCCGCCGCACTTCAGGAAGGGGCACCTCTTTCATTGGTGGTCAGTGAGAGGAGCACAGTATGTGGCGGCCCTCCAATGGTCTGAGGGACAGATGGGGATGCCTGATTTAACCCAAAGAATCATAAGAGTTTTAATATTGTAGATACCTTTGAGATCTGGCTTTTTTGTTTGTGCTTGGTTTTGTTTTGATATCCTTTTAAAAAAAACTTTTAAATGAGTATCATAAGGTGTTGCAGTGTGTGTACAGTGTATTTAGAAAACAAAGGTAAATGAGTTAAACTTTACATTCTTATCAACTTGAGATCCTTTTTGAAATGCCTTCATTAAATTCCTTCTTATGTGAGATGTAAGGTTGACTTTTTAAAGCTAGTTTCATCTGTGGTTTCAGAAAGTACATTTCATTTAGCATTTTAGTGTTCAGTCTAAGGTCTCTTTTTTGTATTTTATATGACTAGGTAGAATATTTATTTGCTATATTTAATTTTATATGGACTACTATCTAGGAAGCATAAACAAACATGACTTGCTTTTTAAAAAAGCTGTATGTATCTGTGTCTTGGGTGTAAACTATTATATAACCATGGTAAAAGTGACACTTCATGCATGTATGAAGTATATTACAGGCTCTGGAGAAAGAGGCGTTTTGTAAGATGGGGGCAAAATAATTTAGAGCAGGGATTTTTAACTTTTTATTTGCCATAGATCCTTTTGATGGTTTAGGGAAGCCTATGAATGCTTTCTTAGCTGCTTTATATGTATTTAAAAATATTTAATATAGGGCCAGGTGCGGTGGCTCAAGCCTGTAATCCCAGCACTTTGGGAGGCCGAGGCAGGTGAATCACGAGGTCAAGAGATCAAGACCATCCTGGTCAACATGGTGAAACACCATCTCTACTAGAAATACAAAAAATTAGCTAGGCGTGGTGGCACATGCCTGTAATCCCAGCTACTCAGGAGGCTGAGGCAGGAGAATTGCCTGAACCCAGGAGGCGGAGGTTGCGGTGAGCCGAGATCGCGCCACTGCACTCCAGCCTGGGTAACAAGAGCAAAACTCCATCTTAAAAAAAAAAAAAAAAAAAAAAAAATTAATATATTCCGAATATATAAAGTAAAATACATGGGATTACAAAAGAAACCAGTTATATAAAATAGTTATCAAAAGACTAGAAAACGTCAATATGATTTATAAATATGTTTCTTAATGCCTAAAAATAAGATAGAAGCAGATCCATGGTAATAATGATATAATAGGAATAATCTGTGATTTCTATAAGCGATGAAGGTACAGGTCCTGTTTAGTCTATTATAGTTAGTTGCATACATTCATAACCTAAGGAAATGTAATACATTTAAGTTAGTGCTGTTTTGTCTTGCCTTTAAAATCCATCTCCTCATGAGGTCAGGAGATCGAGACCATTTTGGCCAACATGGTGAAACCCATCTCTCCTAAAAATACAAAAATTAGCTGGGTATGGTGGTGCTTGCCTGTAATCACAGCTACTCGGGAGGCTGAGGTAGGAGAATCACTTGAACCAGGGGGTCAGAGATTACAGTGAGCTGAGATTGTGCCACTGCACTCTAGCCTGGCAACAGAGCAAGACTCCATCTCAAAAAAAAAAAAAAAATTCATGCCCAACTTCATGCCCTTTTTATGACCTGATATTATTCCCAAGACCTTGTTTTTATTTTGTCTTATTATTATTATTAAGATGGAATTTTATTCTTGTTGTCTGGGCTGGAGTGCAATGGTGCCATCTCCACTCACTGCAACTTCTTCCTCCCAGGTTCAGCCAATTCCCACCACACTGTGCTAATTTTTTTTTTTTGAGATGGAATATCACTCTTGTTGTCCAGACTGGAATGCAATGGTGTGGTCTTGGCTCACTGCAACCTCTGCCTCCTGGGTTCAAGCAATTCTCCTGCTTCAGCCTCCTGAGTAGCTGGGATTTCAGGTGCCTGCTTCTCCTGGCAAAATTTTGTGTTTTTAGTAGAGATGGGGTTTCACCATGTTAGGCCAAGCTGATCTTGAGCTCCTGACCTCCAGTGATCTGACCGCCTCGGCCTCCCAAAGTGCTGGGACTACAGGTGTGAGCCACTGTGCCCTGTTCTATTTTTTTTTTATTGTTTTTTAGACCTTCTAAATTGCCTTTTTTTCTTTTTAACTACCTTTGCCTATTTTTAAAAATTATTTTTTAATATACAGTAAAATTTTTGTGTACAGTTCTGTGATTTTTGATAAATGTGTAGAGCTATGTAACCACCATCACCACAATCAAGATTCATTACAGTTTTCTGTAAAAAACTTACTTGTGCTGTTCCTCTGTAGTTGGACCTTTGTTAGCTCTTAAACCTAGGCAACCAGTGATCTGTTGTCTATTCCTATAATTTTGTCTTTTCTAGAATATTATATAAATGGAATCAAATAGTATATATAACCTTTTGAGTCTGGCTTCTTTCATATAGCTTAGTGCCTTTGAGATTCATCTACTGTATTTTGTTTTATTTATTAATAGTTTATTCTTTTTTATCATTGAGTAGTATTCCATTGTATGGACGTATCACAGTTTGTTTATACATTCATCAGTTGAAGACATTGAGTTGTTTCCAGTTTTTGAATAAAGCTTGCCATAAACATTCACATGCATGTTTTTGTGTGAACTCAAGTTTTTATTTTTTAGGAAGGGGATTGCTGGGTTATATCGTAAGTGTATGTTTAATTTTATAAAAGATTTCCAAACTGTTTTCCAAAGTTGGTAAACCATTTTGCATTCCAGCCAGCAAATGGAGAGGTCCAATTGCTTAGTATCCTTGCAGGACTTGGTATGGTTAGTTTCAGAAATTATAGTCATTCTAATAGATATATAGTAGCATCTCTTTGTGGTTTTAACTTACATTACCCTCACGAGTAATGATATTGAGCACCATTTCATGTGCTTATTTGCT